TCCACTGACATGTTTTCCGGTACAAATTTACAAAGCTTCCCTTTTATTTCTCTTATCCAAGTTTCCAAGCAATGACAGAACCTACTTATGAAGCTGACAGGTTTTAGAAAATATGGCAAGCTAAATCCAGACTCTTTATGACAGTAGAACACGTAACCCCCAAATGCTGCCTATGCCATCATGTGCTCTGAAAAAAAAAAGAGGTAGCTAGTGGGTCTCTTGCTATATTCTTAGGAAACATTTCCTCAGTTAACTGAAATTACTGCTTTCTGTCCATAAAACAGGGGAACGGACAGTTGCCTTGTGGGGGGAGTATGAATTCAATGGCACTGTCTCTTCGATACTTCACTAACTGACCACAAGAGGGCAGTGGGGTATAGAGTGTTAAGGATTTACCGTACTCCGTGTCATTTCTCTATTATATTATTATAGAAGATTTAGGGCAGATACATGGTATTCAAAACCAGGCTCTGAATTGAAAAATCATCCAAAGCTCTGCAAAAGCACTGTAGATAAGATGTGAACTATCTGGATGCTGTCAGATTATAATTCTATGCACCCCAATCATTGGCTATGAGAGTGACTGAATGCAGAAAACATCTAGAGCAGGGATTCCCAATCTGTGGGCCACAACCCGTTACCGGGCCTGCGCTCGCAGCCCACTTGTGAAGCTGTGTGTGCTTGTGCGCATGCCTCTTGCACAAAACCATCCCCTCTTCCCCCCCTCCTTCCCTTCCTCCCCCGCACCAGGCTGCCAACCTAGAAAGGTTGGGGAACGTTGATCTAGAGGGCCATATGTTATCCTTGGAGTACTTAGAGAAATATTATTTTAAGTATTTCTAATGCAGGAAAAGTCGAAACAGGAGTGGTTAGAGGGAGTCCTTGACTTATGACCAAAATTTCCACTACTAATCAAGACAACTGTTAAGTGAGTTGCGCCCCATTTCACGATCATTTCTGTCGTGCTTTGTTAAGCGAATCGCTACAGCGGTTAAGTGATTCATGCAGTTGTTAAGCGAATTTCGCGAATTTCCCCGTTGACTTTGCTCGTCTGAAGTTCCCTAAGAAGGCTGCAAATGACAATCCTAGAACCCCAGGACCCTGCAACAATCGAAAATAGATACCGTCTGTCAAGCGCCCAAATCTGATCACCACAACTGTGGGGATGCTGCAATGGTCATAAGTGTAAAAACTGGCTGTAAGTCATTTTTTTCAGCGCTGTTGTAATTTTGAATGGTCATTAAATGAATGGCTATAAGTCAGGGACTACCTGTATACCAGAGTTTTCTTACCCATCTGGTAGGAAGTAGAACTGCCAATTCAGTGGGGGCGCTTCCACAGACTGTATGGTCCTTTCAATCACAAACACATCCACTTCCTCTTTTTTCACTTTCTGCTTCTGGAAGCCGAGGGTTTTCTAGAAGGAGATTAGGGAATTGGCAAAAATGGCAAAGAGAGGTGCATAAGGATGGCTGTTCAGACAGTATCTTAGTTGCTCCAGTGATAAGTAGTTGATTTCAACATTTCATCTATATCAGGAGTCTTCAAACTTGGCCCTTTTATGCAGGGCTTTTTTTCAGCCGGAACGCGGCGGAACCGCGTTCCGGCACCTTTTTCCGGGCCGGCCGCACCGGAAATAGCCCCTCCCACACCGGAAATAGCCCCTCCCAAATTTTACTTGCATTCCTGTTCTCTAAAGGGGCGGTCCTAGGGTTTGATGAGGGCGTGGCCAGGTTTGAGTTCCGCCACCTTTTCTCNTTCCTTTCCAAGACAGAATTCCCACTATATTGCTGGATACCCAGCTGCTCCATTATAATATATCCACAACCTGAGCTTACATAGGTAGAGGTACAGACGTGTTGGTCAGAGTCAAATGAGAGGAAAATAGCATTTTGTGGTAAGGACTGCCTCCTGGCCATCACCCGCAGCACCAAGAAGTTGGCAGATTCTGAGATGAGGCCCTCAAGTTGTGCACATCTGTAAGAAAACGTGCTGACGTTGATCTCTTCCTGAGGGAGAGAGAAAAGGCTAGACATCCTTCACAAAAGCTCAGTCAACAACCAGAACAGCAGGCCTCCTTGAAGGAAAATGTTTGGGGTTTATAGAAGGCACACCCAAGACCAAGCTACCATTTTTTTTGGCAAGATTGAGGAAGAGGAATACGAGGTTATAATTCTCCTTCTCTCTCCACACAAACTGGTTAAGACTAGGAGTGTTAGTGTTTTCATTTCCGATAAAAGCAATCTATTTATCTGACATTAACTTTACATGCTCCCTTCCTAACACACCCCTATTTATGTCCCCCAAACTTTCAGAATTCAAGTTGGCTTGTAGCCATTCACCCGCACGCCTCAGAAAATAACAAATGCCATATAAGACAATATTTCCTTCAGCCGACCAAGAGGACAGTGGAAGGAATGACATCCAAGCAGGACTTCCCATCCTCGTGCCATTTCTTTTACACACTGGGTGTTTACCTCAGAAGGCCAAGAAAGAACCAAGAATAGCCTGACCACCAGTATTTGATTTGTGCCATATCATCTTTCCATGCATTTTTTTAATGAAAAGGAGTTTTTAAAAATGAAAATGATAGGGCAGCAAAGCTTGCAAGCCCCAAGAAAGATATGAATAAGGAAATATTTGCTCAAGGCCCCTCTGAGAATAAGTGCTAGAGAGATGCTTAATGAAGGTGTGTCTGAAGACCCTTCAGCAAATTTGGCAGTTATGGGAATAGTCACCTGGTGTCAAGCACTGGGGAAATCAGGAGATTCAGGCAGTTCAAATGAGTATAAAGATTTATTGCAAGCTTAAAGCTCTCTACAAGAATCTGAACTACCAACAGTCAAGGGAAATTAGAGGGAGTTAAGAACAGAAAGGAATTCAAGGTGGGCTAGACTTAAATCTCTTGTGGCGCCCAGGGACTCATGACTGATGACACGTTTGATCCCTCCCTCAGGTTCAGCCTACACCTGGTCATCTCCTACACCTGGATGAAAATAGCCTGGCTGGGAATACCTGTTATGTTGTCTTGAGGGTACCATCAAGAATTGGAAGGGAAATTATATAGTCCAACAGTTCAGGAGTTTACTACTGCAGCAGCATGGAAGCAAGGTGAAGCACAGATATAGAAGGGTAACAATACTATTTGTTACTGTGCCCAGGACGCAAAGGGCTTTTGTATGCTCTAGCACCAAGGTTTCTCCACCTGTGCCACCACATTAGCTTCCATGAGGCAGTTAAATGACAAGATCAACTACAGCAGCCTTCCCTAATCTATCTTATTGTGGTTAATTTGTTTTAATTTAAAAGGATTCATAGCAACAGGTTAGGCAGGTTTTAGAGGCTGGTGAAACTCTCACAGATACCTGGCTGGATGGGTGTGGGAATCTTGATAGGCTGAAGGGAGCTGGATTAGTCCCTGTCTCGAGATCTTGGTAAAGCTATAGAGATTGTAATCAACTAACTCATGTGAACTGTGAGGAAGAGGGGAATTGGGCTAGTATTCCAGGCTCTTTAGGCTCAGCTCACTTCACTCACATCTTTTTCCACTATGGTTTTGGCCACATAAAGTCGGTCGTGCCGCTTCACCACTCGGGTCCTGGTTTCCACTGGATGATTTCTAAACTGCAGGAAAAACAAGAACAACAAAAAAAGAGCATAGAAAAGTGGCACAGCTATGCCAGGATTGGCCCCAGGTGGGAGGTGGAAGCTTCACAACTAGTTGAGGATTGAGTTAACTTTCCCCTGTGAGCTTCCTAAAAGCCTTTCTTACTGGTTATATCCTGCCTTTCTTACTGGGAGCTCAAGGTGACACAGCAGAGCAGTCCCTTCCTCCTGTTTTCTCCCCCGACCGTGAGAACAGCCTTTGACAGGCCAGTTGTCCATGAACACGTATCAAATCCCTCCTTAAAGCCATTCAAATCAGTGGTCACTATTAAGTCTTTCGATAACGAACTTCCATTATGTGTTAGGGAAGGAAAGGTGATCCTTCTCTATTTTAATACCTATAATTTACTTCATTAGATGTCTCTGATTTTTTATTGTTCTAACACAGTGGTTCTCAACCTTTTTAATGCCGCGACCCCAACCGGTCGTAAGTCGAGGAGTAAACCGGTCGTAAGTCGAGGACTAAACCGGTCGTAAGTCGAGGACTACCCAACCGGTCGTAAGTCAAGGACTTTCCCTGCCCGGGAGCGCTGCGCATGCGTGGTTCCGCCCCCTGCGCCGGCCAAGGCATAGCTGGCAAGCGGCAGAGACGGAACAGGCCGACCACCAGCTGGCCCAGCCCAAGGGAGGTAAGGCACCCGCCGGAAAAGGGGAAAAAAAATGGCGGACAAAAAAAATGGCGGACAGCCTTGCTTGGCGACCCCCGTGAAATGGTCGATCGACCCCAAATGGGGTCCCGACCCACAGGTTGAGAACCACTGTTTTAACAGAAGCTTCTCCTAGTACACTTTTTCTGTGCCATGCATGATTTTACACACTTGGATCATGTCCTTCCCTCAAGCAGCCCTTCTTTCAAATTAAAGAATCCCAAACATTTTACAGTAAGCTTTCCCTTGTAAGGAAAATGTTCATGCCTCCAGTCATTTTGATACCAACTTCCAACATGTTTTTCTTGCTCTACTATGGCAACTAGAACAGTACATGATGTTTCAGTTCGTAGATGTAGCACCAATCTAATAATCATTGTTCCTTTCCCGGGCTGCTGCAGAGTTGATCTCTTCCTTGAGCAATTGACTCCAACTTCAAAGTCTTTTTCCTGGTTAGCTGCAGATACTTCCATTAGTGCATACGTGAAGTGCGTCCCAATGTATAAACATATAATGAGGATTAAATTATATTTAATTGAATTGCATTTGCAGTTTGGTTGCTGTCCATTCTCTCAGTTCAAACAGATCTCTCTTGAACCTTTCAGGATCACTTTTGGATTTTCCCCACTCTAATAGTTTAGTAACCTCCACTTCTCATTGCTTACCCCTGAATCAAAATCATTTCGAGGAAATTAAAAAGCTTGTTAATAAACTGCCCGTTGTTACTTGTAATTTTTTTTTAACTAGCTAGCAAACCATACAGGACAAGTAATCTTTTCCCATGATTTTACTGTTTATTCATGGAACTATGAGGAAGAACTTTTGTGAAAGGTTTTCTGAAAGTATTGATTGGCTTATCTCTAGCCATGTGCCTGCTAATGAAGGAACTGCCTTTGCAAAACTCCCATTTTTTAATGCCATCTAATGGCTATTCAGAGTTTTGCAATCCAGATCTGGCAGCCCTCTTCTTGTCCCTTGTCCCTACCTCAATGCAAGACAGGTTTAAAAAAAAAGAAAAAGTAAAGGTGTCCCTATAGGTTTTACTCTGCAAGTTGTAGCCATCTTTAGAGGGTGGTGCTCATCTGTCCATTTCTTCAAGCTCTTAAGCCAGTGCTGTCCAAAGACGTTTCTGCAGTCATGTGGCTTCCAGACATCACGCCACAGCGCAAAGCGTGTGACAAAACAAGGAACGCTGTTACCTTTTCACCAAAGTGATATCTATTTATCTACTTGAATTTACATCGCTTTTGATCTAGTTGCTAGATTGGCAGGAGCTGAGGCAAGTGACGGGAGCATCACATAGTGGTAGGACTCAAACCGCAGGAGCACAGACCTTCTCCGACATCTTTTAAGCCACTAAATCAGGGGTCTTCAAACTTGGCCCTTTTATGACTTGTGGACTTCAACTCCCAGAATTCCTCAGCCAGCTTGAGACACGCTGGCTGAGGAATTCTGGGAGTTGAAGTCCACAAGTCATAAAAGGGCCAAGTTTGAAGACCCCTGCACTAAACCATCATGCCTCTTTAATACAAGAAAGAGGTTGAAGGAATCTAGACCCATCCTCCCATTCCTCTGCCTGTGTTATGAACAATGTCTTGCTAACTATCATTAGGGATTGTCCTCATGATTCGGGTGCCCTGTAGAATCAGCTTATATTTGTCTTGTGCTGTTCTAGTTTGAAAGTAGCATTTTCCCTCTTCTCCCAATACAATTTCTGTCATGGATACAATCCAGCATGCTCTCTCAATAATCTGGTTGATCGCGCAGTCAGGGGTTGGCTTCTGCCACTGCCCACTTTCAATGCTGTCAGCATAACCCCTCCTCTATGGTCACTGCCGTCCATAACTATTTTGACTAGAGCTGTAATAGAAACCAGACATCTTCCCCCATAATGTCCAACTGACATTTTTTGAAGCACTACTCGAACATGAGATCCTTCTACACCCAGGTTTATCGCTCTTTTGAGAGTGATTAGCCTTTAAAAAGAAAGCAAACTTAAAGGCAAGGCCGGAACTTTCTTGAGTGTTAGCAAAGTAAGGAGATTGACAAGAGTGACATTGTTTAGAAAAGTGGAAGAGATAACATTGTTCGCAACCAACCTCAATTCTTTGTTCCTTTGCTCAGATAAACTAGAAACATGCATGTACAACCCATACTTTCTTCCTATAATTTGTTAGTACTGTGCTCTCTTGCTTCTGTTCCCCCCCCTCTCTTTTTCTTAAAAGCAACCAGCATTTTTTGCTACTGAAATTTAGCAGGTAGCTCTTCTCCTACTCCACTCACCTGCCAACTTGTTTCTGAGTTTTTAAAGGGTTTATTTATTTATTTATTTTGCACATTTAGCACTTTGGGGATGGGAGGGAATCTGCGGGAGGCCACAGATGTTCCAGCACTGTCAGATCCTTGCTGGATAAGGAAGCCAGAGGGGAAAGCAAAATACGTAATATACTCACCCTCACACTTTCCTGAATGTGCTGCTCCAAAATCTCCAGTTTCTTTGTTACATATCCTGATAGGAAAACAGGCATTTGTAGGAAATCAAGGCCATGATACAACTGTTTTATTTCCTTTCGGGCAGCTTTTTCCAATTTAATACCCCCGATATGTTTAATTATGACTCTGAATGGCCACATTGGTCTAGAATAGATAATAAGAATTTTAGTCTGGAAAATTAGGTTAGAGAAAACTGTTCTGGGATATCTTGGGATGTTGGTGTTGCATGGAAATTTCTTAGCATTCTTGGAAATGTTTCATCTTTCAACAGAGGGTCTGTCTACAGTTTTCTGTTCTGGTGTGTACTGCTTTTAATAACAGTTTAACCAACCTTGCCTGGCAACATCTTATTTGTGCAAGAATGAAATTTAGTTTTCTACATTCCTTGTCCTGACCTATTGACTTTCCAATAAGAAAAGCAGCTAAATGGAGGTATTTGGGGAAAAGAGGAGTCTCAAAATGCTAGCCTTGCACTTTCTTGTTTTTAATCTACATTAGTAAAGATGTGACTAGCTTGTAACAACTACATCAGCAAGGAATGGCTGATGATATGAATGTATTTGCAACTGTCCACATAATATTTTGGGTTTTTTTATTTATTTAGAAAATGTCCCTGCAATAATAAAAATATTTTAACCACATTCTGCTAATCAGAAAGGAATAGGAAATAATTAAAGAGCTGATAGCTGCAAGGAGTAACACGTCACACAAAATATGTAGACCACTAATTAATGCAATTCTAAGCTTAACTTTTTTTTTACTACATCTGTAAATGCCATGAAAATTAGTGCTGGCAGCTTCTAGTATCTATTGTACAGATATTTACTTAGTTTATATTTATATTATATAGTATTTATATTCTATGGTAAAGCAATTAATACCAAAAAGCATACAAGAAAATTTAATGGGACTTATTTCTAAATAAATCTGGTAGGATCCAGCCAATTAGGACATGAATTAAAATGTTTTAATGACCTAGTGAAATATTAAATGTGTAATTAGTGCAGTAGGTCAAACATTCTGCTCACTGAAGAAGACCTATGTTCCAGAAGTATAAAAAAGCCCAAAGCAACCTTAGATCAAATATCAGGATCAGAGTAAGGGAAAAGAGTATCAAACTGGATAATTCTAACTACCATCATTATCTCTACGTTTCTAAAATTGGTGACATGGGAATTTCAAAAATGGAAGCCCACATTTAGGCATAGCAATGTGTCTAGTCTTTCTCTTCTGCCTATCATTATGCTAATTTGTGTGTATCTGTGTGGCTTCAAGTCAGCATTGGCAAGATTTCAGAAGTGGTTTGTCACTGTATCTTTCCTAGGGCTGGGGAAGAGTGACTGGCTCGAGGTCACCTACCTGGCTTCATACCCAAGGCAGGACTAGAACTCAAAGTCTCCTGATTTCTAGTTTGGTGCCTTACCCACTAGACTAGACCTAACTGGCTTATGCTGAATTAGTGCACTGAATTTACCTGTAAGGGAGATTTTGCAAGGCACCCCATCGATTGCCACTTTGCTGTTTGCACGGACCAGGAAACAGTCTTCTTCTTGCCAGCCATCCAGCGAATAGCAGGCCCACTTCGCCGAGATGGAAAACGTCCCTATAGTCTCTCCAGACTCTGAAATAGCCACCAGCGATTCTTCAAAAAGGCAGGGCTGAATTTCTTTTATTTCTGAGAAATGAGATGTAGCAATTTCATCTTCAGGAAGACAGGGAGAAAATTTTGCTCACTCTTAGATCGACAAACCGGAATGGCCCAGTTGGGCAGTGTTTCTCAACCTTGACAATTTTAAGGCATGTGGACTTCAACTCCCAGAATTCCACAGCCAGCAATGCTGGCTGTGGAATTCTGGGAGTTGAAGTCCACATGCCTTAAAATTGTCAAGGTTGAGAAACACTGGGTTAGAGCCTCTCTTTACCACTTTCTTGTTCTGGTTTCATCTTCAATTTGCCCATGTAGAATATATCTGTGTGAAAGTAAATTGGGGGGGGGGGAGAGAATGCAGCCCACTTTTTGCTTCCTTCCTCTTTGTCTATAGATCAGATGAGGATTAATTTCAAATAACCCTCTTTTCTCAGAACTCGGGGAAATGAATTACACAATAACAACCATGTGTAAAAACTGCACTTAAGGCATATTAAGTCTGCTTAGTCTCATGGAAACACAGTCAAACATCTGGCCATCTTTTATGGAACTGGACAGCTTTAAGTTATGTGAAGTATGTAAATAATTTAAGTTTCTTGTCTTTCAACCAGCATTTGGACCACAAATGGCTCACAAATACTCTCCTATTCAGGAGAGTACATTTTCAACAGACTTTTCTATTTAAAGACAGAGTAGGCTCAAGGAGCCAGTGAAAAGTAGGAATTGTTAAGTAAAGCATGGTTTGATGCCAAAACACAACTTTGTAAAACTATAGAATGTCATGACAATTAGATCAACAATCTGGGCTGAGAAGAGAAGAGGAAATTGAATGTGCCTGGAATCTGTGAAGATCTGGATGGGGAGCAACCAACTCAATCTTGGCAAGATGGGGTGGTTTTGGATTTTTGACTCCTAGGTTGCAGTGACATGCCATCTTTGACTCTGGATGGGGTGGCACTCCCCTAGACAGAGCTAGTGCCCAATTTGGGGGTCTTCTTAGACTTACATCTATTGCTCAAGGAGCAGGTGGCAGCTGTGGCTAGGGAGGTCTTCTCATATATTTATCTTGTGCATCAATTGGACCATTTCCTGGATTGGGAGGCCTTGGTCACAGCAGTCATGCTTTGATCACTTCCTATTTCCAGTGAGTTCTACATGGGGCTGCCTTTGAAAACTATCCAGAAACTACAACTGGTGCAGAATGCAGTGAATTGTACAGTGTTGGGTACTGTTGGTTACTTCTGGGTTCACCTAAGTTACACTCCTGCTGCATAAGCTCCACCGGATTTCAGTCCCCTTCCAGATGCAAGTCAAGGTGTTGGTTATATCTTTAGAACCATATGGCTTGGGACCAGGTTATCTGTAGGACATCCTCTGTCTCTCCCACCAGAATGGATAGGCACATTTTAGGTTCCTTTCCATGAGCATTATGGGTTCTTTGAAGCCTGCCTTTTCCATGGCAGCTCTTGCCTTATGGAACACCCTCTCCCTGGAGACCTGTCAATCCCCACTCTCCTTTTAATCTTCTGGGAAGCACTCAGAACCTGGCTGTTCCCATAGGCACTGTGATGGCTGAGATCATAGGAAGAAAATGTGGCTGTGGCACCAGATTTTTCTGTTTTGTTTTTCTTTTTGAGTTTTATTGTTGTTGTAATTGTATATGTGATTTTTATTGTTGAGTGTAAGCCTCTCAAAGTTTGGTTTTAAGATGGGTAGCTATATCAATGTTTTAAATAAAATTAACTAACAAATTAATGTGGATTGGCAGCTGAAGACTAGAATGTTAACATTAGAAGATTCATGCTCATGCTGATTGAAAACATTCCTTAGCTGTTTGGAATGGAGGGCCAAATTACATTAGCCTGGTCTCAAAAGATCTTCTGTCTTAATAGGCATCTGGATGAAAGAATTCTCTAATGTAACTACAGTTGGAGAAGAGAGGGTAAACACTTCTCTTCATGTGTATTTTGATCCTGATATAAATTTCTCACTTTGCTGCATTTATTATGTTTTTGAAAACCCAGGTTTCGTAGTACTGCATTCTGGGCATCCTTGTCTAGCAAAACATCCTTCAGCTGTGTTAGGATTACATTTTCCAGGCTAATATGGTCAATTCCCATCATAGCTATGAATTCTGGGAATTGCAGTCACAGCAGAGCTAGAAGGTGTCTAGTGCAGAAAAATCTGGTTTAGCATTTCTCCGAGATACCTATTTTGTAAAATTCAGTAAAACACAATATTCACATTAACTATAGCTTTTGCTTAAAAGACAATTCTGAAATAAACAAAACAAGAGTAGATGTCCTATATTAAAAGGCCACTCACTAATGAGGGAAAGGAAGTCCACTGCTTCCTTGCTGGCAGCTGGAATTCTTTCTGTTAGTTCAACTTCTTTTGCCGCTTCTGACAACTTTTTTTGCGCGCTGGACAAATGAGAGCTTCGAGACCTGGAACCGATGGAAGGATTCATTTTTCACGGTAATGGGAGTGCTCTGAAAAGAGGAGGTGGATTTTGTTAGTGGTGGCAAATTGTAATAATATTCTTTATCCATATAATAAGGTTCCTAAACAGTAATATCGTAACTTGGGTGGTTGCAATTGTAGTCAAATGCTATGTGAGGAAATGGAATAATTCAGGTTATCCTATTCCTGCACACAGAAGTCCTTTAATAAAAAGTTATTACTGCTGTTGAGATGATATAGCAGGGGTGTCAAACTCAATTTCACTGAGGGCCGCATCAGCATTGCAGTTGCCCTGGGGGTGGGGCGGGGTGTGTGTGGCCAGAGTGGGTGCAGCCTACTGGGTGGGCGTGGATGGAGTGGGTGTGGCTACCGGGTGGACGTGGCCAGTTCTACATCATTCACGTGAAGGGTGCCTTTGGGGGCCTGGGCAGGAGTGGGACAGATCTGAGGGTCTCTGGCAGAAGGGGGTGGGACTGGGGCAAGAGCCAAGGCATGGTCCACCGGGGCAAGTGCCAAGATGGCCACCACAAAATTGTACATTGTCTCCCAGCTGACCTGGGCCAGGGCCAAGGCAGCGAGGGCCATTCCCTCACTGTTTCCAGGATGGCTTCGCGGGCCACATGAAACCACTTCGCGTTTGACATGTCTGTTATAAGGGAACAGACCTTATTTTATTAGTTTCCCATCAAATAACAGCAGGAAATCCACGAGTCATAAAAGAGCCAAGGTTGCCTACCCCTGGACTAGTCCAAGGTCACCCAACTGGCTTTCATGCCTAAGGAAGGACTAGAACTCCCAATCTCCTGTCTCTAGGATGGCAGCCTAATGACTACATAACACTGGGTCTCCAGTCTATATGGCGTAAATCCAGAAATTCAGAAAACACTATTCACACCATTTTAATCATGTTATACAGTATAATGAATGAATATGACACTTTTCTAAACCTTGCTATAAGAGTTTGGCTGACTCCTCCATGAAAATTTAAGAATGCTCAATATATCTACTGTACATTACAAATTTTAACAGCCACTGCCTCTCCATAGGGAATTCTGAAAATGTAGTGGAAGGCTTTCTTCCAAAATTTTCAAAAAGCTAGCATTCTCAGGTTTATTTGAAAATAATAATAATAATAATAATAATAATAATAATAATAATAATAATAATAATAATAATAATAATAATAATAATAATAATAATAATAATCTGGCAGTTAAAGCAGCCTAATCCACCCACCCCAGTGGTGGCTTTCTATTTTTAGCCCCTTAATATCACCTTTTTTTTCTCCATCTCACAGAGACTAAATTACATCATGATTCTCCATGAAGAATTCTGGAAAAAATATGACAATATATGACTTTCTATACACAGAATTAGGATTCTTGAAAAATGGAAAAGAGCCCTGTGAAACGCCCAAACTTAGACTTGACTCTCAACAAACACAGCACCTAAATCACAAAACAACACAAAACAAAACAATACAGAACAAAACAAAACAAACAGGCCAACTCAGAGATGGGGTTTCATAGCAAGGCTAAAAAAAAGGTAAAAAACCCCAGTAAAGTCTGAAATAATTTATGATACAAATACTCAGAAGGACAGAGTGGTAAGGAAAGTGCACATTAATCAAGCATCCCATCCCATCAACCTACATAGAAAACAAGCCAAACCTGGGTCCAATCCAGAGATAATTCTAGGAGTGAAATGAATCCAGGGGGGAAGAAATAAGCCGCAATTACTTTAAAATTGGTGGAACTGGCGGTTCCTGGTGGACAATCTCCTTTTGCCCTCAGTAGAGATGGAAGGGTTACCATCGATCAGAAATTGTTTGATTACACGCATTAAGTCCCAACTTGATAACGGGTTTAACAATGAACGTGTGAATTCAGGAGTACAGAAAGAATGGCTCCAAAACTGAAATGTTTCCTATCCCAAGCATCCCCTCGCGGTTCTTGTTCTCACCTGTTACACTCAACAACAGCGGTCCCGTGTGATGGAAGACCACACACAAATCTTTTAAATACAAAAATAAATCCCAAATATTTACACCATTATATCTCTTCCCCAAAAGGGAATGAGCCTCGAAAAGAAGCGAGGAAAAACTATTCAGCTGCAAGCAAACCACCTTCTCTCATCTGTGTTTTCTTTCTTTTTACAAAGAGGTTGCAATGCATGTACTGGTTTCTATAGCAACAGACTGCTCTCTCACTCTCTCTCTTTCTCCCCCCCTTAAAGAAACATGACTTGTTAACAGTTGACAATATTGACCACATTTTTTCATAAAAGGGCAAATAAAACTAAATCTCTGAGAACAGGAATAAACATTTTGGCATGCACACTTCTGAGAATATCAAAAGTGTATTTTAATTTTTCTTAATTGGCTTTAACTTTCAGCACAAACAATCAAGACATGTTTCTGCAAGTAGTTCCTTGTTTAATTTTCCGGTGATCTAATTTAGAAACAATAAAATGGGAAAGAACAGCAGCTTGGATGCAAAGAAAAAAAACAACTGGCTGACATTGCTTTGTTTGAAGCAAAATGCAATCAAAACCAAGTAGAATGTGAGTTAGAAATTAAGGCACCTTTTGCTGAGAGACATCTTCAGAATAGACACATCAAACCTATCGTTAGTGGAGCCTGAGTTTTGGGGCTGGGGGGTTTAAATTATGGATTTTTTAATTGTGAATTTTTAATGTTGTATGCTGCCTTGAGCTGCAAACAAATATCTCTGAATCATTTTAAGGAAGCAGTGCACCAAACAAATAAGCCAAGGCATTCAAGCGCTCTTTAAAAATAAACAAATAATAGTGTATGCTTTGTTCACTGATTTTTTTGGGGGGGAGGGGGGAGAAGAGTTTCAATATCAGCCTGGGTTGTTGGTACATGATCTGGTGGCCCAGACTAGAAAGACACTTGAAGGGATACCTTCATCAGAGCATCACGGTAATTTCAGAAGAAAGTCTTGAATATGCCTTTGGTTTGGACAAGGGACACAAAGAGGAGTTAAATGGAAATTGGCTCAGTTACATTCCCTGGAAGGAACCCCTCAAGAGTATGAAATGAAGGTGATTTATACTTGCTTTGGTTCTGCCTAAAAGGGGAATGTTTTTCCTGTTGTCGATCTACCTCTCAGCTGTTTCTATGATAAATGAGAAAGAATCTCTAACACAGTGATGGCGAACCTTTTAGAGACCGAGTGCCCAAACTGCAACCCCAAGCCCACTTATGCATTGTCGGGTGCCGGCTGGGTGTGGCCCATTGGGTGGGTGTGGCCAATTGGGTGGGCATGGCTGCGATGGTAACGGCAGACTGGGTGGGACTAAAAAGTTCAATCAATTCCAACTTTGCAAGATCTTTTCCCACGAGAAGTTGAAATTGACTCATTGATTGAACCTTTTTTTTTTTTTTTTGCACATGGTGGCGGAGGCCTAAAGCAAAAAGGTTTTATAAAACCCAGCTGAAGGCCTAGGACTGGGGCGATGGCGCGCGTGCCCACAGAGAGGGCTCTGAGTGCCGCCTCTGGCACCCGTGCCATAGGTTCGCCACCACTGCTCTAACATCTGGCTAGGCTTGGGGACATTGTAGTGCAGGGGTGTCAAACTGCCGGCCCCGTGGGCCGGTTTCATCATACCGAAGCCGCGCCCACCCCATTGCCGGCAATGCAAAAAGAGTCGCGATATGTCGCGACACGTCACGTGACGTGGTGAGTTTGACACCCGTGTTGTAGTGTGACTGAGGATGGCAAAAATAACCAAGAGAAGAGGAAGAAAGGACAGAAGTATGAAAAGTCAGCAGGGAGGGCATCAAAAAAGTGAAAGTGGTGGCTGCAACCATGATTGAAGCCCATTTCTTTCTTTAGGTTTATCACATGCACGATATATGCAAAAACAGGGGAAATTTCCAGAGCCACCAGCTTGACCTTTTTGCCTTCCCCTCAAGAGAAATACAAAACAGAATTAAAATACCAAACAGAATCTGGGATTAAATGTGCAAAACTCAATTGACTTTTCTATTTTTAATGTGGCTTTCGAGGAGGTTAATGCAGTCTGAACTCCCATGGCTGCCCACTCATCTGCAACAAGCTTGGAAATTCAGATTTTTAGCAGGCTAGTAAAAAGAAACCTCTGTTAGTGTACAATACTGGTAGAAGAAGAATGGAGGGGCGATCCACTAGCCTGCTACTAAATTCTGCACTACCCAGAAAACGTCTTTCTTTGTGGTCAACAAGGAAACTAAACTGGAAGATAGCAGAGCAGTCCTGCTTTACTCATCACCATGGAATTTGTTCTCTCTTAAAGTCTGCTGAGTTTCTTAATAAATACAAAGGATGATGATGAACACCATCTCAATGAACCCTACTGAATACGGGGGGAGGAGGAAAAACAATGATCAGAAATATGCATTATATCCTTAAAAAGAGCAGGAGGAAAAAAGGCTGCGTTTATCAGAATCCCTCAGAAATTACCTCCCAAGCTAATGCAACAATCATCACACAACTCCTCTGCTTCTAGCATTTTGTGGCTCATATAGCACAGCTTTCCCTGCAGCTTTCTCCATTACGGTATATAGAAGCAGGATACTTTTGCACTGGAGCATAGCTGGAATATTTCTCATGCAAATTCTCCATTATTCAAAAACCAATTCAAACCACAGATCCCTGTTTTGCAATAGAGAGATACTTATTGATATTACCAAATTCAACATCTCACTGTGGAAATGCATATGGATTGAAAATGTTGTATAGCATACTACACAGTATTATTAGTAATTCATATTGAAATAAAGCTGAAATTGTTCCCATCATTACAGCTGTTCTTTATTACCCAAGGTAGTTCCAGTTCTGTGGTTTAAAGAACTGCAGTAGCAAGCAGGTAACCATATTCAATAATACAGCAATAACGAAAAGGCTAGAATGTAAATTTGCCATCAACTAAATCATACTGAGCTTTTATGTGCACTGGATATAGAACAGAAATTTTACATTTATGTGTGTGACAAAGTTGAATATGAATATCAGCATTTGGAGATAAAGGGGTATGCAGGAAAAATAATTAGACAAGATGTCTAAAAACATTTTGGAAATAAGTCCAATTTAGAGAGCCTTACTTCTCAATAGGTATGTATTTGACTGGGAAAAATTACAATACAAGCTGTACCTTTAGAGGTATTTGGCAATGTTAACATATGTGTAACTGCAATTTTACCTTCCAATAATTACTTTTCTTTGGATTCCTTAATATTCATATTTCTCTTTTCTACAAGGTAGGATCCACAATGTAGCTTCCTATAACAAAACTCTGAAATGCCCTGAGATAAAATGAAGAGGGTAGAGGGATGAATGATCTGTTTCAGAACAGCCTCTGAAATAGCAACTTGATCATACCTATATACATACATGTGTTTCAGAAATAAACAGAGTTGATTAAGTAGCTTAAAATTAGCCAAAGCACAACCTGGAAACAAATTTTGTATATTTAAAACACCTTTTTAAATGCTCCTAAACAAGACTCCACGTGTCAGGTGCTTGGAATATTCAACAGATGCCATTGTTCACACATGCATTTCAAAATTAAAATGCCCCAGTGAGGGAGAATGCACTTGTATGTTTGAGAGTTAAGAAAATGAAAGTTGCCTGAATGAAACTACTCAATAGCCTCTGACAAAAGTTTAATGCTGAATTCAGTGGGGCTTAATAAAGGAGAATATTTGTAGCTCAAGGTCGATATGAGGGGTCCTTGGTGGTCTCTGAGCTTGGTTGTTTTCTTGGAGACATTACTCAAACTAGGTAACATCATCAGCACACATTATGTTACCTACTTTGAGTAATGAAACATCTGCAACAAAACAACCAAGCTCAGAGAACACCAAGGACCCTCTCTGAGCTTGGTTGTTTTCCTGCAGACATTTCATTACTTAAACTAGATAACATCATCAGTGCTGATGCTTTTACCTAGTTTGGGTAACGTCTCCAAGAAAACAATCAAGCTCAGAGAGCACCAAAGATCCCACAGTGGGGCTTATTTCTAAGATCAAGTACAATGTAGTGTATAATTCTGTCGTCGAATTTTAATCCATACATCTATTAGCGCCCGTCTGATGTGATGCCTCCGGAAATACTGGTGAGCTTTATAATTCTCATCCCATAACATGGCATGCCATCCAATCTGCATGTCATGACCTTCCAGTTTTAATAATCTCCAATTTTCCAGTCGAATCCAATCCCGCAACCACAGTAAAATTGTAGATTGATAGTATTTTTCCAGATCGGGAAGGCCAAAACCCCCCCTTTCCTTAGCATCCTGTAATAATTTTAATTTAATCCTTGGTTTTT